GAGAGAGAGAGAGAGAGAGAGAGAGTGAGAGAGTGAGAGAAACAGGGAAGAGAGAGAGTGAGAGAGAGAGAGGGAGAGAGACAGACAGAGAGAGAGAGAGAGAGAGAGAGAGAGGGGGGGAGAGTGAGAGAACGTTGATGATGCGTAGCGGTTTAAACCTGTACAAATAGTGTAATAGTGTTGTTCTCTATTGCTGTGTGCATCATGGGTGAGTGTAGAAAGGCAGCTTTGTAACTCTATTGACACTGTAAACGACCAAGGCAAATAAAGATTCAAGGCACTAAAAAAAAGAAAAGAAAAGAAAAAGATAGACAGACAGACAGAACAAAGGAGGGAAGGAAAAAGAGTTGTAAGGACGATATATATAATAGGTATTCCAAGGGGGTGCCCATTGAGCTGTTCCCGTGGTTTTAAGCAACAACAAAAGTATGAAATTGTGCAAACCGAGCCCAAAAAAAATGAAATGATGCGATTCTGTTAATTTTAACAAAGAATGATAACGAAAATAATCAGAAATTATGCAGAAAATTATCAAATTTTGCTAAATTATGCATAGTGGCACCATCCAACAGACGACATTATGGTGAGTTCCTAACTAGCAGTTGCTGGGATATCTTATACGGGGTGCCTTTTGCGGAAGGATCGGTAGGGTCGGGTTGGGTCGGGTCGGGTCGGCTCGCATCGGGTCGGGCCGTTCGCCCGACTCGTCGCCTGAAATAAAAAACACTTTTGTTTTTTTTAGGCGTCTTTCGGGCGCGATCGGCTTGGGTCACGATATCTGTTTTGCGCATTCAATATGGCTAGCAAACCGCCCCGCCCCGCCACCGCCCCCGTTCCCCCAATCTGTCCCCATGGTTTTATGCACCCCGCATAATTTAGCAAAATTTGATAATTTTTTGCATAATTTCTGATTATTTTCTTTATCATTCCTTGTTAAAATGAACAGAATCGCATAATTTCACATTTTTGGGCTCAGTTTGTATAATTTCATACTTTTTTTGTGCTTAAAACTACGAGAACAGCCCAATAGGCACCCATAAGAGTAACTATTATATATACAGTATCGTTACTCCAAGGACACCCCCATAAAATAAGAGCGAGAGAGCGCGAATACAGGAACATGATCGGATAAGACGATAAAGTGAGAAGCTCTTATCTTACAGAATCGTCATATTATTACCTTTGTCACACCATCCATAGATAGATAGATAGATAGATAGATAAATCTCGGAGGGCTCGTGTGCAAGTTGAGCACGTTAAAGATCCCTTGGTGGTCTAAAATCGATAAGAGTAGGCTTCGGCCGCCACCCGGGCAAAATTCAAAATTTCCTACCAACTG